GCTAGAGGGCCCGGGCTGAGGCTCCAGGGGCAGAGCTCTCCAGACATCATCGTGAGTGGATGTCAGCCCAGAGCGGCCTAGTCGTCGGCTACCCTCCTGGGGTGGGGGGACCACAAAGAGGAAGCACAGGGACCAGAGCAGGGACCACAGATGAAGCGTGTCCTGCAGCTCCTCACCTCTGGACTCCACTCACCAGCCAGAGAATTTCTTCATTGCTTAAACCATTTCGAGCTGGGTTTCCTGTTACTTGGAGCCCAAAGCATCCTAACTACTATAATTCTACCCAACTCCTGGTCTTCTATAAACTGACGGAAGGTTAGCTGTAGGCATCTTCACAGCAGTGTCCTCTGCTCTGGTTTGATTCTGAATTGACTACTGGTGTTTGAGCCCCCCACCCCCCTGGCACCCTTGGCAGAGGGCACCATGCTTCCTCTCTCTGGCTTCATTTGGGTGTCCCCAAAAGCAGACCCCACGACAAGACCTGGTTGTGGGTGATTTATTTTCGAGGTGAACCCACAAAGCGCAAGGTAGAGGTGGAGAAGGGAGATGGGGGAGGGAGGGAGGCCCCAGACAAGTGCATGATGAGGGGGTTCCACGGCTGGCAAGGGGCTCAACCCATGGGGCCCTTGGAGAGACGTAGGAAACAGGCCTCCAGTGGGCATTTATCCACAAGCCCCCATCACATGGGATGGGAGGCCTGCGGGGGCGTGAACTCCCCTGGCACCTCTGGGCTGTGCCTGCAGAGAAGGGAGCAACTTCTCAAGGTAGCAGAGAAGAAAAGAGAGGTCGGCCAGTAGGTGTCTCCTGCCTGATGGGAGAGCTGGATGGGCATTGCAGCCTCTGCTCTATGCTCAGTCATAACAACAAATGTACTTCCTGGCATACAGTAGGGGCTGTATAATTGCTGGCTCTGTAAGTGGCAGCTCCTTAGTTGAACTTGCGGAACGCTCTGTGTGACTCCGGGTTCTTCCTTCCCTCCTGCCACCTCCACTCCACTCCCTCTTCCTGCCCCTGCAGGCAGCCAGGGGCTCAAGGTAAGTCTGACTTGACCACACTGAGCTGACCAGACCCCGTCCTGAGGTGGCCCAGCCAGGGCGATGGGGGGCCATGCCCCTCGGCCAGGCCGGGCCATGCTGCTGTCTGCTCGGTGTCAGTAGTCAAGGCGTAAGCTGATCTCAGGGTCACTGCCACCCACCTGTGCCCACAGGCCATGTCACTTGGCCCTCTGGCCTGAGCGGCCACCTGCTTCCTGCCACAGGAGGCCCAGCGCCTGACCTTTCCCTCCCAACATCATTTTCCGTTCTGTTGCGCTTTTGGCCAGGCCTGAAATGCTTCTCTGGGGGAGCCGGAGGGATTGTTCCAAAGCTGGTCATTGTTTCGGGATCAGGTTGCCTGAGCCTCAAGAATCCGACAGAAACCAGAACCTCCTCTGAGTCACCAACACCCACAATGGGGCCTTGGATGGACGGCAGGGGCCGGGGTGAAGGGCGGTGGCTCCCTTGCCCCCATCTGTGCCCAGAATGCTTTAGCAGAGCCCTCCCTGCCTGCAGTGGAGCTCAGATTTTGTAGCTCAGGCCAAATGCCAAATTGGCGCAAAGATCTGGCCCCTAGCCTGGGCCTTGCTCTGCCTTAGCCAAGAGGGAAGGTGGCAGCCCGCCTTGGGCAGGGAGAATGCAGCCTGCCCACCATGGAGCCAGGAGGAAGGAGGTTTCAGGACTGGGGTTAATGCTGCAAGGCCCAGGGGAAGCCCTCTCAGATCTTCCTGGCTGGGGTATGGGAATTCCAGGACCCTGGGACCCACTAGGGCTCCGTCTTTGAGTCCATTTCCTGGATCTCCATCCGTCATCCAAGACTGGTCCCCTGGGCAGCTTATCACTTGGACTTTCCCTAATCCCTTCTTTAAGATATGCTTTTTTTGGTGGGGAAGATTGGCCCTGAGCTAACATCTGTTGCCAATCTTCCTGGGTTCTTTTCTCCCCAAAGCCCCAGTATGTAGTCGTACATCCTAGTTTTAGGTCCTTCTAATTCTTCTATGTGGGACACCACCTCAGCATGGCTTGATGAGCGATGTATAGATCCGTGCCCAGGACCCGAGCCAATGAACCCTGGGCTGCTGAAGTGGAATGTGCAAGCTTAACCACTATGCCACTGAGCCGGCCCCTCTAAACCCTTCTTGAGATCTGTATCCCATGTGTACTTTGAGGAGGGGAGGAACCATCCACTGGGGGTACTTGGCCCCTCCTATTGCCCCCAACCCCTGGAGGCAGTAGCTCTAGAAGTTAGCTCCTGGGTTAGCAGTCAAGAAATGAACACTCTGCCACTCATCAAGCCCACGTCCCTTCAGGAACCTGGCAAACAACTGTGGCTCCTGGTGTGGGCTGCCCAGGGTCCCAGCCCCAGCCCCAGCCCCAGCCCAGGCCGCTTGTCTGATGGTTTCATGCCAAGACACACTGACTGCCCCGCCACATCTCAGCCAGCAGGAGGCTGAGCACCACTTTCAGGACCTACCAGTGTCCCATTGGCCTCCTGTCCTCTCCAAAAGTCCTCAGGTGGGGAGCATGGGCCCCTCCTCCTGATGCTCCTGGCTCCCTACTAGGTAGCAGGCACAGAAGGGGCGCTGGCTCCAAGCCAAGATCCCCAAGAGTAGGGCTGGGGGTGCCTTTCCTACGGTCAAGCCTCTTAGTACCTCAGTAGAATCTGACCTGCCTACCCTCCACTGGCCACAGCCCTGCTTCACGGCCACCTGCATTGATTAAGTACCTATTGTATACCCAGGGCTGTGAAACGGAGCAGATGTAAGAGTTGGGCCTTTCGGTCACAGCACTGGCATCAGAAAAGCATTTATAGTTTGACATATACTCTTTTGATCCTCATGACGACCTCCAGGTACAAAGAGTTTATGAACTCTCCCATTTTCCAGATGGGAAAAGGGATGCTTTTGTGAGGTCACATAAGTGTGGGATTAGAATCCAGCTGTTCTGAAGCCATTGTCTTTTCCATGATGCTGAGTGGCCTCCTTCATTTTTTGAGGAGTTTATTACTGAGTTTTGGAGACAAGGCATCCCAGGTGAGACCACTCTTGAGTCATCACTTGTGAGCCAAAAATCACACAAACGTAATGCAAGCATGGGCCTTCCGGAGGACCTTGTTGAGGGGTCCCTGTCGCAGGGCCTGGAGGGAAAAGCAGATGCAGCTGAGAAGAGAGTGGCCAGTCGACCTGCTCCGAGGGATGATGGAAGCAGGACAGTGCCATGTGGACGGTGCACAGATGTGCCAGAAGGTCGTGTCCTGTGACAGATCAGGCTGGGCTTCAGTTGAGGCTAAGGAGTGTGATCTGATCCAGGAATAGCAACACCACAGTAGATTTTGACCTGGGAAATGGGCCCCTGCATGCGTCTAGGCTGGAGTAGCCTAAGGAGATGGCGTAGGGGAAAGGTTGCCAGTTAGAGGGACCTCTGCTGGCCATATGGAAGGTGACAAGAGCCTGGCAATTGCATTTTAAAACGTGGAGGCAACCAGACAAAACAAGCATGGCACACCTGACTTGTACTCACCATAACCTATTCTGCACAGCAAGGGTCCCACGGACCTCACAGGGTTTTCTCCTCCTGGGCCTACAAGGAATGGACTTCACCCTCCTGAGTGGCAGCTCCTCCCTCCTTGTCCTTGGTCAGCAGGTCTGGCAGGACTCCACAAGCCCTGACCCTGCACTGAGCAATGAGGGCAGCCCCATTGTAGGCTCTTCTGAGGTCTCTGCTCCCAGACCCCTCTCTGGCTGGAGTGTTGGCTGGTCATCAGTTTTGCTCTGTGAGTTATGAATAAAGTGGAGACCCCCTAGGCCTCAGCTTCACTGTTCTTTGCTCCTCCCCTCCTTCCCTCCTCTTACCAGTTGGGCCCCTTCCTCTGATCAAAATCTGGTCCCTGGAAAGATCAGAGAGCAGTCATATGTTCTCCTTTAGGGCCAGCATCTCAGCTTGGTCATCGTTGTACCTTGGTTGATGAATATAGCACCTGGCAAATAGTCGACCCTCAGTAAGTTGAAAACGAGAATGTTTTTTGACTGTATCCATGGATGCATGGACGGATGGATGCCTGGATGGGTGGATGGATGAATGGAAGGTTGGATGGATGAATGGGTGGATAGATGAGAGGATGTGAGGATGCATGGATGGATAGATGTGAATGTGTGAAGGCTCTGCTAGGTGGAAAATCAACTGAAAATGCCCCCTTGGATTGGAGACAAGTGGGGAGAGGGTCCTGTTGGCTGCTTCACCTGTTCCCTTCTGGGTATTATTTTTTGGGCTCTCTGGGCTATGAGTGGCAGGGAAGTAAGTTGACTAAAGCCACCAGACCACTCACAGTCCCAAGCAGTAGCATGTGGTCTGGGGCTGTGTGGCTCTGGGCCAGACTGAAGCAGGGCACGGCAATCTCAGTGGGACCCACGAGTGAATGGATGCTGTGGAGCAAAGCATCAGATGTCACTTTGCAGGGTCCTAAATCCCTCAGGTGGAATGGGAATCAGCACCTCCCTATTCTAGCTGATGACACAAGGCATCTTCCACCTCCTGGGGCCCCATTTTTAACTTCTGATCATCTGCCTGATGAGGCGTGGACTGGAGCAAGATGGTTTCCAGGGCGCCTCTGCCTTCCACTGCCTGACCCTTAGGTTTCATGGGCTACAATGGAGAAGATAATTGGACCCCAGGTTTTCTCAACAGCTGCAAGCCAGGCCTCAAGGAAAGCTACAGGGCTAATACATAAAATCTGCCGTCTTTGGAGACCTTTGCTGTATGTGTGCAGATATACATATATATAAAACGTGTACTTTGTATATATGTGTGTTAGGTGCCGTCGAGTCAGCTCCAACTCCTGGTGACCCTATGAATGAGTGATGTCTACAATGTATAATTTTTATATATGTGTACATATCTATCTATCTGTGTATGTGTATATATGTGTGTGTATATATGTATACACACACACACACACACACACACACTTTTTTTAAGAATAAGAAAGTACATTAATCCCTGGAGGTCTGAGTCCATTCTCAGAAGCTCAAAAGTGAATGTCTGGAACACGCAGTTCACAACAGTGGCCCAGCCAGGGGGCTTGGAGCAGGCTTGGCCTTGAGCTCCATAAACATGTCCTGGTGTGGCCATCGTGTGGTTTTGTGGTGGCAGGAGGGACCAGGCAGGTGAGGAGGGGTTTTCCTGATTGAATGTGGTCTGGAGCAGACTGACGGTGTCAGAAGTGCTGGTGACTGGCCTAGTGATTGGACACCCAGCGGGGCTGCCCTCTTAGTCCCCAAATGTTTGGGCAGGGGACGTGGGGCCAGTTCTGGCCAATAATCGAAAGTGGCTTGTGACACTTCCAGCCTGGAGCATCAGAATGCTGGAGATGTCACCTTTCCTCTGAAAAAAAAAGCCGGCAAAGTCCAAAATGGTGGCTGCCCCATCAACCTGGTCCTGGAGAGACAACAATGGTCAGGCCACCTGCCAACCCATCATGGGCATGTGCCATGAGCAAGAAAGAAACCTTTGTTCCTATTAATCACGAAGATTTTGGGGTTGTTTGTTACTGCAGCAAAACCTAGCCTATCCTGACAGATTTGAGACCCAAATACTCTCAATAATCCCAAAAAAATCCTCTGACTTTCCTTCCAGCCATCACCAGGACATGCTGGTTGTCAGGGTCTTGGTGGGTCTGATCTAGATTTCCTAGCCAATCCATCCAGCAACGCTATAGATGGCCTGGATTGCTTCAACACCTTCACCTCCCTCCCCTCATTTGGAAAGCCCCCCAACCTGGCTCTGGGGTCCAGCTCCATCTGTAACAGTTCTTGCTGGGAGGGCTATGATTTCAAGCCAGGCTGAGGAATTGCAGTGAACGGGTGGCCTCCGGGGAAGACCTGCCCTGGAAGTGGGGGCTCCAGTTGGCATAAAAAGTTGTTTTCACACTTGCCTTATTTTTTGCCAAGAGCCGACGGTCTCCTCTGGCTGCGAAGCAGTCAAGGGAGCAATCTCTCCTCCTGGGAACACACAGTGTTAAGCGGGGAGCTGAGAGGTGTGTGCATAACCTTGCAGGCCCAACCCTGTCTCCTCATCTATCTGAACCCCATGTGCAAGCCCTGCACACGGTGTGGACAGGTCCTAAGTGCTCTCAGTCTGGGAAGGCCGTGAAACAAGCATGCCTCAACTCCCGGCCAGCGGCGGGCTTGATGGGGAGGTGGTTTTTAACAGCCTCCTGCTTATCGATTTTCGTGTGGTCAGGTCAGCTTCAGCCCACACTTCCACGGCAGGAGGCTGGAAACCAATGCTGCTTTGTCCCCATCTATTTCCTGTAGGCTCTCCGCAGTGTGGCCAGCTCCCTGCTGGTTGTGTGACCTTGCGCAAGTCACCTCACCCTGGGTCCCTGTTGCTCCTGCATGCCTGTCATCTGGCGATGACACGTACTGAAAGCCTGGTAAAGGCCAGACACTTCCTCAGCGGCTGACGCACAGTAGCATATTAGGTCCTCACCCAGCCTCCCTGAGTAGGTGCGATTCTCATCCACTCCTGTTTCATCAGATGAGGATATTGAGGCACAAAGAGGTTAAGTAATGGAAAGGCCATCACACAGCCAGTGGCAACGGAGGAGAGAAAACCCTTCCTACAGTGTCCACTTCTGAGGACGGCTCAGTGACTGATGGCTTGGACACGCATGGCCGTGACCTACCTCTCTTACTGGGGGCGCCACTGTTTCCTGCTTTTCATGCCCGGTGACAATTTGCCCTCGGCCTCTGTTATCACATCCCCCATCTTGTTCCCTGATGGGGAACAGCACAAAGTGGCTGCTGGCCAGCTGTGCACACAGCCACGTGCAGATCTGACAGGCTGGCCTCCCTGGGGGATTCAGGACCTCACCTGACGGTAGGTAGGAGCTGCCAAGGGAAGGCTGTGGCCAGCAGGTGACAGGGCATGGGTGAGAAGGCCTGTTGGCCCCCCCAAGGGAGGCGGAGGACTGGACTGATGCAGCAGCAGAAGGCAGGGCTGACCTTTCTCCGATGACCACCCTGCACCCCACGCAGAATCCCAGAACCGACCTGACCAAAACAATGGCTCCCTGGGAGTGCAGTGAGCACCCACGGGGTGCCAGACTCCTGCGGGAGTCTTCCAGAGGTCTGGGTCAAGTGGGGATGACACACTGGGAGGGGTCAGGCCCTCTTGGGAGAGGTTAGAGAGGGGTCTGTGACCTCGCGGGTGTGAGGAGGGGCAGCAGCCACCAGAGGCTCTGGACCCAACCTCAGGACCCAGCCAGGTGGGTGGTGCCATGCCCAGGACAGTGTGTATGGGAAGGGGGTCCTGCCCATCTCTCGGGGGTCCTTCTCTGTTGCCCCTGGAGCCACCATATGGGCAAATGATGGAACCCAATCACAGATTCCAGCAACATTGGTTTGGCCCAGGAGGGACCCCTCACTCAAGATGGGCCAGTCCAGCATCTCTCCCGTTGGAACTGGACTGGGGGCTGTAACTCCGGGGGGGGGGGGGGGGTAAGTGGAGGCCACCCGGCAGAGGGTGAAGAAGTTGGGGGGGACACAGGTCTCTGCCCATGCTCTGCCATCCCCCTACAGGGCAGGAAGGAGACACAGATCAAGGATGGAAACCGCCCCTGCCCGCCAACCCCCAGGCTGGCTGCCCCTCAGTTGGATCCCTGGGCTTTGCCTCTGCCTGCTCAGCACGCGCTCTGGGCCCCAGCTGAGTGCTCACGGCTGCTCCAAGTCCTGCCTGAGTCACCCAATCCTGCTGACTGCTGTCCTGTCTGCCAGGTGCTCCCCCTCCTCCCAGCCACCCAGAGATGGACACACAGCATCTCATGCAGCCTCAACTGATAGGGAGTTCCATGTGAGGCAGGGATGGCCTCTCACAAGTGAGCCCCAGATATGAAAAGGTCGTTGAGACAAGGAAGGGACCTCAAAGACAGATGTCACGTTGGCCACACTGAGGTCTGGAGCTGGTTTGTGACCTGTGGTGGGGTGGGGTCAGACAGAGCATGGAAGCTGGCTGGGGAGCCCAGGTGGACACGTGCCAGGCCTCTTCTCCAGGGGCCATGGCCAGCAGGACATTGCTGTCCCCTCCCAGCGGTTGAGTGGAGAACAGTGAGAGGAAACAGGCTGGGGTGGGTGGGGACATCACTGAAGGCCAGCTTTGACTCCTGGGGAGAGCAGCCCTGCATCTGAGAAATCCCCTTGGCCTGGGAGGCTGGAGAAACAACACCAGCGTGGGTGTCCGGCCTCCAGCAAGCACCACGCCCTCCCACCCCCTGAAAGCTATTTCTGCAGCTTCCTGGCTTGGTTCCTCCTGCTCCGCCTCCACCTCCGTCCTGGGTGAGACCTGACTGGGAGCAGCGGCCAGGAGAGGTCATGTATAGGGCAGGTCCCGGCAATGAAAGGAAGGTCCCCCTCGTGGAACAGCATGGCTGGGGAACAAGAGGCTCGTGTGCCACACGATGGCCAGATTTAACTCCTGGGATTCCAGTTAAAATGGAAACTTTGGAAAATCAGAGCTGCTGTGGCTCAGTCTGCCTCTCCTCACCTGAGCAGAACTTGCTGGGGCTCCATCTGGCTTCTCACTGGGCTCTGGGGGTTCTTGGCAACTTCTTCCATGGCAGGGACCCCATAGAGCTTGGGGGGCGGGTGGCAGATGGCCATGTGTGGCTGCTCTCCCTGGCTGGAGGGGGCAGGAGCCTGTGACAGCCTCCATCTTCCATCCTCTAGAGCAGGGCGGAGGACCAGGAAGGCGCCCATTGCCAAGGAGACACGCTCTGCAGAGCATTATGGGGAGGACTACATGACACAACAGATTCAAAGCACCCAGCCCAGAGCTCACCTCTCATGCCCGCCACCTGCTAGCATCCCGATGGGCAGTTAGCCAGCCCTGGGACAGCCTGACCACTGCCCACTTCCCCACACCTCATGGTGGCCACCATGCAGATCCAGGTGGCTGAGGACAGGAAGACAAGGCCTGTCACAGAGGAATTCATGATCTTGTAACATCTTCAGAAATTATCTATTTTTTTTTTTTAGGAGCTTATACCTTTGGTTCTTATAAACAATTCATCTTCTAAAGTCTCACCTGGGACTCCTGGATAGCCTTATGGCCACCTGATTTCAATAATGACCACTCCCCCCAACCCCCGCCCCCGGGTTCAGTATCTCCGTCTCCTGCTTTATTTTTCTCCATAGCATTTATTGCCCAGAACACACTCTGTATCTTACTGATTTATTTGGTTTAGCATCTCTTCCCACCCCCACTCCAAGTAGGAGAGAAGTTCCACGTGGAGTGACGTGGTCTGCTTTGTTTACGCTCTGTCCTCAGAACCTAAGCTGCGCCTGCCATGCTGTAAGCACTCAGTAAATGTTTCTGGAATGAATAAAGGATCCTTTTCTCAGGAGAGGGTGACACTTCCTCAGTGGGAAGGGAGGACCCCAGAGACACTGAGGCTTCCAGGAGCCCTCTCAGCAGCACCCGTCCTGGGCTAGAATCAAGTGCACTCCCTCCGGGTCCTCACTGCAACCCCCAGGGCAGTGGGGGGACCTGCTCAAGCCGCCCAGCAAGTCTTGGCTTCCCAGCTTCCACCGTGCTCTCCCTGGCACCCTCATCCTCACACTGAGGCCGCAGACCATCGCTGGCAGCTGGGCAGACATGCAAAATCTCCACCCAACCCTGGACCCAGGAACCAGACCCTGCATTTTACAAACTCCTGGATCACACAAGTGCACATTTCAGTTTGAGAAGCGCTGGTGGCCTGCCCAAATGCTGCCTTCTCCCAGGCTAAGGGAAATGCTTTGCTGAAACCATCCTCATTTCTTTTTTCCTCTGCAGCTCCTAAAACAGGCAGCGTCCTGGCTGAGGGGGACAAGCCTTAGTGTTACCGTGTGGAACCGGTGAAGGGCAAACCCAGCAATTAGCCACGAGAGTGGGGAGGCGAGGCGGGCATGATGGAGAGCCAGGAAAACAGCAGCCATAATTGCAGGGTGTGCCAGCCGTGGGGACGTGTCGGGGGAGGCAGCATTAAGATGGCAACCATCTCTGCGTGAGTGCCTTTGGGGGTGGGGGCCCACGGGCATGGCAGGGGAGGAGCCAGGTGACAGGGATGCAGAGAACGTATGAACCCAGCAGCCCAGGGGCCTCCTCGGGCCTGTACCCACCCCTCCCCAGGTCTGCAGGTTGGCCCTGGCCTGCTGGGCCTTTGTCTTCTCTAGGCCAGACCCCTCACTGCCCCACCCTCAGTGGGTGACACCCTGGGGACACTGCCTCAGGTACCTGCAGAGGCCTGCATGAGGCCTCTTGGTAGCTGGAGAGTCAGGCTTCCTGCTGGCAGCTCTGTTTCCTGCATCTGAATTAGTCCCAAGGAGCTTGAGGCCTTCAGAGTGATATTCAAACTGGGGTCCCTGGCACCCTGAGGCTCCATGGAGGGTGTGGAGGCAGCCACCAGGGCAAGGAGGAGGCCAATCTGCTGGGCTTGCCCTCCTTTGCCCAGTCCCCATCCTGCACACCCCAGCTTCAACCGGGCAGCTCTGCTCTCGTCTGCTTTGTAGATTGGAATTCCTAATGACACTTCACTTCTGAAATGAGTTCTCGCTACTTCTAAAAAAAGAGAGAGGAAGGAAAATGTATTAATCCCGTGTAGTGTCTGGTTTGCAGGTGAGAAGGCGAGTGGCACGCCCAAAGTGACTAAGTTCCGTCCTCCCGCCTCCACTTCCCAGCCTCAGAGAAGGGAACCCTGCATTTAGTGTCCTTGCGTGGAGTACCAGAGCCTGCTCATTTTTATTGCCTGAAAGAAGCCGAGGAAGCTGAGTGTCAGGATGCTTAACTCCCCCAAAGACACGCAGACATCAGAGGGTGAGCAGGGCTTGGTCCAGATCCGCAGGGAGCATCAGGGCACAGGATCACCTCCAGGCCATTTCAGTGACATCACCCCCTCCCCCCAGCCTCTTCTCTCTCTCTGCCTCTTTGTCTCTCTCTCTGTCTCTCTCCTCAGCTTTGCTCTGACAACTGTCACTCAGTCGTCATGGTGAGTAGGCACCGCACTGGGCCTGGGGACCAAGCCCTGGGAGACCCAGATGCTGCCCTGGCCTCAGCGTCCCACAGGAGAGCCAGACAGGGAACAAAAGCAGATTTGATTTTATCCATGATCCGTTCTCTGAAGGAAAAGGGAGCCAGTTGGGGCCAGGAGGGGCTTAATCAGCTCAGGCTGCCCCCACTTCCCTCCGCGTGGGGCTGCACCCCACCTGGAACCCCTCTGCCATCTCAAACCAATAAAGTCGGATCTGCCCTTCACGATCTATGGCCAGGATGTCTACTTCCGGGAGGCTTCCTTGTGCCCCCAGCACAGGACACTGGCTCTGTTGAGCCCCCAGGATGGGTACCTCTCCCACGAGAAGGACCCAATTCTACTTGTACCCATCCTTGGATGTAAAGTGGGAACACGGAAGTTCTCTCAGTGACTCCCAGTCGGACCTCCAAGGCCCAAAGCCCTCCTTCCTGTCCAGGGTCCCTCAGCATTTTCTCAGTGACAGGTGGACAACACTGCACCTGGCCCTGGGGAGTGGGGGAGGGGCTGTGCTTGATGACCTCGCCTGCTGGGACTGCTTGCCAGAGCCACCTTCACGGAGGTTGTCAAGTCATAGGCCACCTGGGGCCACCAGTGCTTAGGCCAGCTCAGCACACCGGCCTTTGGGGGCTGCCTTCTGCCTCCCAGTGTGGTTCTGGAGCTCTGTGCCCCAGCGCCCTGACCCCTGCCCCTGCAACAGGTATATATGAGCAGCGACCTTCCCCGGGATCTTATACCTGCCACTAGTCTGCAGCCGTGGGAGCCAGAGGCTGAGGGAAGCCTGCCACCTGAGGCTCCCCTGCTCCCTGCTCCAGGAGAGCTTGTCAGCAGCAGGAGAGTGAGGACCGCGTACAGGCAGGAGTGGTGCTGAGCGATTTTGATGGAGCCGGCCCCTCAGGACAGTGCGTCCTGACCCCGTGTGGCCTGAGTCAGCTCTTGGCAAGGGCTCTCCCGCCCTCCTTGCCACCCACCAGCTCGGCTCTCCTTCCCCGACCCCTTCCTACATCTGCCTTCTCTGCGTCTTCCCAAGATGGCTGACTGCCTGGTTGGGAGAACAACAGCTGCTGGCTTTTCCGATTTGCCCACCTTGTGTGCCCAGCCTATGTCATGGCTCTGATTTGGACCTGTCTGGAGTGGGACCTGGGCAGCAGGTGGCAAGATGAGACCACTGCCCATGGGAGAGGGGTATCTCAGGGAGCAGAGCTGCACCACCCCTATGGCTGCTGGGGAGCCCCTTGGCCCCAGCCCAGGAGGACCGGGGAGGGAGATGAGACCAGCCACTGCACACAACCCCGTGACACAAGGCAGTTGGGTGTCTGCAGTGCCAGAGACCCCCCAGAGCCATCAGAGTGGCTGGGCTGTATGCAGGGCTCCCCAGGGCCCCTCTCCACATACCTACTCTGATCACTGCTTCCTGCCCTCTCACCCCTGCCCCACGGCCCCCTCTGGCCTTGGAGAAGATCTGGCATCTGCTCCGTGCTGGGCGGGGCAGAACAACAGCAGGTCTGGAGCCTGGATCCTGGAGCCTGGATCCTGGAGCCTGGACCTGGAGCCTGGAGCCCGGAGCCTGGAGCCTGGAGCCTGGACCTGGAGCCTGGAGCCCGGAGCCCGGAGCCTGGAGCCTGGCTTTTGCCACGAGCTGGGCTTTCCTGCCTCCTCCAACTGGGATGACTTTCCATGTGGAGGGTTCCTCAAGGTCTGGAGTCAGGAGATGAGGAGACCTGGATGAAGAGTGGGTTCAACACTGGGTCACGGAGGCCAAGGGCCACACTGGCCTGTCCATCCCTCCCTGATTGTAAAAGCTTGTTCCCAGGGGAACAGCAACCTTGTGCTTGAAACCCGGGCTTGGCTTTCTCTCTCCTTTCAGGGCATCGTTAGCCGAGTGTGACTGCTTTTTCATGACTGGAGTGATTAGCAGCATCTAACCCTGAACCCCTGAGTCTTCCTGTGTCATCCGGGCTTCCGGGTGGCCTGGAAGGGCAGTGTGGCTAAGACAGCCTTCCCTGCCACCTTCCTGCTGCGTCTGCTCCACACACGGTACAGGGACCCAGAGTCACACTGCTTAAGTGGGATGCATGACAGTATTTTATTTTAACATCCAGATTTCCACCCAAGTGCACCAGCTCTGTGATGACCCTCCCTGGGAAAGCGCGTTGCAAAAGAGATGCCCCGCTTTGGTGATGGAAGGGAACGGACACCATTATTTCTCTGGACTTAACTTGTCCTAGACCGCCCAGATAAAAGCAGACCCTTCACTATCCCCCAAACCCGAGCTGGCCCTACCAAGCGCCCCCAGACCCAGGCCAGGGGTCCTCACCTGGGGAGGGTTGGAGGCTCCTGTCCTCCCCCACCCCCACCCTGGCCTCTAGGGAGTTTGGAGATAACGAAAGGAGGTCAGGCGGGGAGGTACCCAAAATAAAGGCCTCTGAGGATCAAAGCCCATATCCAGTCTTTCCCCTGAAAAAAGACTTCCATTTGTTCTTGGGTAGAGTTTAAAGAAGAACAGAGTATTGTCCTCGTGAAATGGTTTCATTTTAAGCCTTTACTTTGGGGGTTTTTTCGGGTTTTGTGCTTTCTCTCCTCCCTGTGGCTGCTGCGCATGAAAGGCTGGGGTCAGGCCAGGCATGTGGGGGGCGGGAGCTCCCGGGTTCTCTTTGATTCCCCCAAAAACAGCAGGAAGCTCCTTCTACCTGGAGACGTCTGGCTGTCTCCTCCGGGCCCATCCCAGACTTTGCTGAGAATAATTCCTCCTTGAAAAAACATAACAATTCCCATTCAATGTTTCAAATCCTCCATGCCGGACTCAAAGCTCAGAGAGACGCCTTTGAAGATTTTTCACCGAACAAAAATAAAACCCTTCTCAGATGCTTGGAGAAATGTTGCTGAAATAACTCCCAGGGATGTGAAACGCGGCCGAGATGTGTGAGCGGCCGAACAGCCCGTGTGCCCAAGGTGGGGACAGTTTGATGAACAAACGGAAGAAATGAGGAACGTGGCTGGGAGAGAGGCAGCTTCCTGGGAGATTTGGGGAATTTTTATGATTTGATCCAACACTGGGCCTGTGTTGCCACTGCTGATTACCCCCACTAATGAGGGAAGCAGGTAATCCCAAATGACGAGTAATCCCCATGCCAGAGACACCTTTCGACCCCTTCCCAGCTTCCAACAACAGGGCTGGGGAGGAGGGCTCCAGCCCTGGCAGAAACCCCGTGCTAATAGGATGAAGATCTTCAAGCCTGTTCTGAGCCTGGAGCTTAAACCAGACGTACCCAAATTCAGTGCATTCATTCATTTATGCATTCACTCAGGAAATATTTATTGAGCGTCGACTATACGACAGGCATTGTTCTAGGTGCCGGAAGCAGAGCAGCGAACAGGCAGATTCCTGCCAGCGGTGCTCCTGGACGTCAGCTCGAGGTCCGACCGACCCAGACAGAACATAGGACGGTTCTCTGGGGCACACTTCTCAGGCTGGAATGCACAGATGTGTCACCTGGGACCTTGTTAGAAGCAGAAGCAGAATCCGACAGGAGTCGAGGAGGGGCCTGAGGCACTGCAGTTCTAACAAGCTCTCAGGTGGCGTCATGGCTGCCAGCCCGTGGTTAGAGCACCGAGCCGTCTGGGTTCCATCCCAGCTCTGTCATCCGCTTGTGTGAACTTGAGCAAGCGTTTCAATAGTCCCCACTACACAGAAATGCATTAGGAAAATAAATTTCCCTCTTTTTTTATGCTTAAGCCTCTTGAAGTGAGTTTTCCATCACTTGCCCCAAGTCTCAGCAAGGCCTCTTTACAGCTTGTTCTTGCTCTGAATTTCCCTGTCTCTCCTGCCGTACCATTCAATCTGCTTGGTTCAGGAAGCTCCTTCAAGACCTGAGAAGGTGGAAAGGTGCACAGTTTTGTTCTCAAATGCTGCCACTTGGGGTGGCTGGGCATGTGGAGGGGAGGGTTTCTCCATAACTCTGCTGTGGGGAATCGCATCACCGCAGCCTCCTAGGAGCTGGGTGACCGGAACAGAGAGCTGTGAATGGCAGCGTCACATGGGGACCATCGGGATCACTCAGAAAGATGGAAGAGGAGAGGGTTATTCAGCACCCAAGACCTGGGGGCAGACCATCTGGGTGCAAGCCTTGGCTCTTCTGCTGAAGATCTGGGTGAACTTAGGCAGGGTGCTTAACCTCTCAACACCTCATTTTTCTCATGGGTAAAAGAGGTTCCTCCTAGTGCCCAGTCCCAGGCTTGCTTCTTTCTTCCTCCATTTCTCTGCTTTCTTGAGATCCAGTTTAGAAGCAGGCCCACAAGGGGCTTATCAGGAGGCGTCTGTCCCAGGCAGGTGGCATTTTGACTTGGGGCTTCAACCCCGTGAATGGATGAGCTCGTGTCATAGATGCTCCTAGTCTTGGTCACATTGAGCTGTCATAGGGACTGATGCCGACCTCAGTTCCAGCAGAGGTTCAAATGTCTCCATGGGTGATATTTTTAAAGGTGAAAGAGGGAAAACCAACCTAACACTGTGAACCACAGGCAGGGCAGGGAACATGTCCAGTGGTGCCTGAGTTGCTTCATCTGAGTGGCAACGAGCCTGAGGACACAAGCTGGAGTCAGGTGCAGGCATCTCCCAGCCTTCACCATCCTTCCGAGGGCCCCGGCGGGAGCCCTTGGTCTCAGTGGGAATCCAGACCTGCCCTTGACCAGATAGACAAGTACAGAGACTGCACAATTCACTCAAGCCCTCTGGGTCTCAGGTTTTTCTCGTATAAAATGAGAACATTGGGATGACGGTTGTAATGCCAGGGGGACGCCGGTCTCCAGTAGACAAGGGTCTGGAATATCATTGCAGCTGGGGGAGGGGCGGCGGGAGGAGGCATCACCTTTGTCCAGTTGCACCCAAAACCCATGTGGAGGCTTCCTCATCTACAGCAACACCATGCAATATTTGAGACATACTTACACTTAACAAGTATTCATTGTTTATCCGAAATTCGGTTTTAACCGGCATCCTATATTTTATCTGGCAGCCCTGCCTCAGACCCCATGCTCTCCTTGAGTCTCTGCCTAGGGCTCCCAGCCTCCCTGAAGCCTCAAGCACCCTGCTTCTCCCTCTCTCCCAGCCCAGATACCCCTCCTCAGTTAGAGGAAGAGAATGTTCTGTCTTGTCTCCATGCTGTTGGTAAGATACAAACTCTATGCTTACCTTGGGCTTCCATTTTGATTTTATTTACTTATTTGCAGGGGAAGATTCACCACAAGCTAACATCTGTTGCCGACCTTCCTCTTTTTTCCTTCTTTTTCCCCTGCAAAGCTCCAGGACACAGTTGTGTATAGTTGTGAGTTCTTCTGGTTCTTCTATGTGAGCCACCGCCACAGCACGGCTACCGACAGATGAGTGGTGTGGTCCCGGGCCTGGGAACTAAACCCAGGCCGCCAAAGCAAAGTGTGCCAACCTTTAACCACTAGGCCATCAGGGCTGGCTCGGAGTTTTTCTTTGCTAGGCATGTTGCCTGCTTCTTGCTTTTTCATTCCTACTATAACTTTCCTTCTTCTGAAAACAATGTAGGTGTGGCCACCTCTGACTGACTAGGGAAAAGGTTGGGTGTGAGGATTCGAGGAAAGGAAAAGTTCAGAAACTAATTTTTTGAGACACTGTCTCTCTGTGCAACCATAACCATGGGGCATGTTGGGGGGTGGGGTGGGGAAGGAGGGAGTCGCACTGGGACCCCAAGGGGGTGGACGAGGTTTAATGTTCTAAGGGCGTCTTGTTTGGAATCTGGCTGTGTGCATTGATGAGGACTGTTTAAATATTTAAAACAATTAGTAAGTTCACTTTTGGAATAGGAAATGCTTGTAAGTTATTGTTTTACTCCAACAGTAGAAAGCGGAAGTGAGTAAATTCTCACACCTACCCATCCCCAAGCCCCTTGTTTACCCCCTGGGGGCCAACATGAGGGCCAGTGCCTTTTGTCAAGCCAGACACAGGTCATGCACCCTTGGGCTCATTTGTCCTTTTGAGCTTGGGACAAGTTTTTGTTTTGTGCCCAGGCTGTAGCTTCCAGTGTGCACTGTTCTGCTTCTCTCCCTTATCCTCCTATCTTGCAGAGCATTCCAAGCCCACCCCATCTGAGGTCATCTTCAGATGGGTCACTGGAGGCAGCAGGGGAGAGGCCTCAGTGTCTGTCCTGGGAGTGGGCCTGGCACCACACATTTGTGAAACACTTGGATAGCCCGTGGGAATGCTACCCTCCTGGAACTATTGGTCCAGATCACTAATTAATATTTACAAGAACAATTTAAAACTTAACTTCGCATGTAGAAGAGAGTCCAACCAGTGGCATAGCTTTAAGATTCCATCTGATCTTTGTTGGTGTAGTTAGAGCTGTTTCTACACACTCTTAATTAGTGTATACATGCCAACTTTTGTTTTGCCCCCCTTTAAGATCACTGCTCATAAACATTTCCCTGTACTGACATAAGATCATATCTTTTTGATTTGCAATGGAAAAACTGTGTCACTATTTTTTTCCATCACTCAAGCATCTATGGAGTTGATCTTTTTGCCAGAGTTCTCTCACTGGCGTTTGAATACAAAAAGGAATGTGAAATATGTCATCTGAAAACTGCTGATTAACTATTAAAATGGCTCAGCTCTCATTTGCTCTACATGTAAAGAGCAAAAGCAATAACAGTCGTGTATCCCCTCTTCAGCTTCAGAAGGTGGCAACTGGAGGAACACCCCACCCCCAACCCATCTTCGTCACACATGCCCTTCCTTGCAGGCTCTTGGCGTGGAAAGGATTTGTAAACTATGTCAAAGGCCAAGAGCCAAAAATCATGCTCTGTGCTAGCCAGGAGAACACTCTCCTCCCCAGCCTGTGCCTTCGTCCTGCCAGCTCTGACACCCCGGCTGCCTGGTATGACATCGTTGAGCAGGAGAGTGGGTACTTTGGTGGTCAGCTCTCCCCTCCATGATATTCGCTTAAATACTTACTGGACCAAGTTGGAAAAGAGTGCATGTGGTTCCCCAGTGGAGGAGGACAGGGCTGAATCTTCTTCAACACAGACTGCCCTCGGAAATTTTACTTTAAAGATGAATCTTGAGGCTGGTGCAGACATAGGCAACATGAGATACAGCATCACAACATGTAAGCCTGGAAGTGGAAGGATGTCATCCAATCAGAAGACATGGTAGTGGGTGAGCTGGTGTTGAACCCTGGAGCCCACCTGCTGGGCAGCAGCAAGTGTTAATCCTTTAGATGCTGGGTACCCAGCAGGGGCCCTGGAAAAGGACTGGGATAGCAAACAGTGGGAGCTCCAGCTACAGTCTGGTTATTGGGCTACAGTCTGGAAGGATGCCTGGGTTTCATTACCCAGTACAGCCATCACTGGGAGTACTGGCTGGGCATGAGCCCTAGGTGTAACCAAAGGGTGGGCTCCCATGGGTGGCCCTCACCTTCTTTCCATGCACCTTCCCTGAGGCCACCCTCAGCAATCCTTGTGCTCTGCAGAGATTTAACTCCACAGCAGGTTAATAAAAATGGAGGAACGTGCTAAAGACTTTGGGGGATCCAGGAGAGATCGTCCCCCAATATTCAGCAGAAGTGTAGCAATTCCTCAGGGACCACGCCCGCTCCTTCCCATCAGCGGCCTCCTCTGTCCTATCCTCTTCTGCCAGGCGGCCTCTAAAGACCTCTCTAGTGGCCCTGAGCAACTCAGCTCTGACGACGGGGACTGCATAACTTACAGTTCAAACTGGGTGCTCTGAAAGTGAAAAGGAGACTACCAACAGTCACGCCAGCCCCAAACTGGCAAACTGCAAACTTCCGTGGCTCTTGCTCTGATTTATACACCCCACTTGGCACGACAAGAGCTAGCGGTTTGCTAAATAGGTTTGCTATTTCTCCAGAACATTCTCCTTGGAGACAAGAACAGATTTCTCCCTGTGCGTCAATTTGGCTGCTAAGCAAATATTTTCTCCCTAGCCTTCCATATATATTGTCAGAAGGAAGAAAGGAAATTAAAAAGTGGACATTTTATGGGCAGTCTTTGTGTACCAGGGGCTCCATGTTCAATGTCATTTAACTCAAGCCTCACAGGCCTGTGGGAAAGGTGGAATTTCCCCCATTTTATAGACAAGGAAATTAAGGTTCAGAGAGGTTCCGGCTGGTTAGTGGCAGGGTCAGGATGCTAACCAGCTAACCAGCTTGAAGAGGACACTTTACCAATATTTCTAAAAGGGAAGAAGTGAGGTATATTAAGAAGGTCATTTACCCTTAAAACAAGAGTTTTTCATAAAGGACTCAGCTTCACACGGGGGACGCTTACCTCTTTCCTTCACAGGCCTTTTCCTTTTTGACGTTGGACCCTTTTGAGAATTTTTCATCAGTGGGCTGTTTCTGGTTGGTTTTGATAGCCACATTTTTATTTACATGCAAATTCACAGCAAGCAGCTTGCATGCAAATACTATACTAATTATTAAGCCTCTGTGGCTCATCAGAATGCCGTATCCTAATTGGTTGCAAGATTGCCGATAATCCACAATAGCCTGGCTTGGAGCTGCACCAATTTTTGCATCTGCATAATAAAAGGAAATGGGAGGCTGGGAGAGTGTGCACCTATTTTATACTTGTTTCTTCAAGGTCAAAGAATCTTTTATTCCCTACTCAATCTACATATTCATAAAGACCATTGTACAATTAATGAGATGGAAGATTAAATGGTTGCAGATTAAGAACAAACCCTACCGTTCTAATTAGAGTAAAAGTTACTTAGTCAATCAGATTAGAATTCCAAATTCAAACTAACTAACACAGAGGCATAACAATGCCAACACACACAGTCCTCCACCGGCAGCTTACACACAGTCACTGGAGCCTGGACAGCAAAGCCAGAAGCCCTGGTGATTATTTCCACCTTTGCAAAGACTCTTCTGCTGAAGATGGACCCCACTTGCTGAGTGCCCCTTGAGGCAGAAGAATGGAGGAGAGTAGAGGGAATCCCATGCTATCATAACAAGGCAACACTGCTTGACCCCATTGGTGACAGAGGAAGAAACAGGGTCTCCCCACATGGATTGGGTTGTAGATTTACCCCAGACTCCTCCTTGGGGAGCGTTTAGGAGTTTTGACAATCAAAGACACGTTAACAGATGAGGTCTCTGGGCACTGGGGTTGGATACACAGAGATTTAAGATGCAGTCCCTTCTGTCAGGGAGCTTGCAATTTCCTCTGGGATGTCAAGACCTGTCCATCTAAAAAGGAACAAATGGAGAGCCTTCACCTAGCCTCCACGGACCCCCCCAGCAGTGTTTCTTATTTTTTTTTTCTGCTTTTTCTCCCCAAATCCCCCCAGTACATAGTTGTATATTTTTAGTTGTGGGTCCTTCTAGTTGTGGCATGTGGGATGCCGCCTCAACGTGGCCTGATGAGCAGTGCCACGTCTGCGCCCAGGATCCGAACCAGCGAAACCCTGGGCCGCCACAGCAGAGCGCGTGAACTTAACCACTCAGCCATGGGGCCGGCCCCCAGCACTGTTTCTTGACATGCAGTCCTGGAACCCACATCCAAACCACCCGGGACCCTGGCCAAAGTGCCGATTCCCTGGTCATGCCCCAGATCAGCTGGTAAGGCCTGGATATCTATATTTTTGACAAGCCCCAGATGATTCTGATGCACGCTGTGGAAAACACTGGCTTGGAAGATCCATGGATGGACTTCAGAGAATCCATGAACTCCTAGATATTGAACATAGCATTTTATTTTTATGTATATTTATCTGGGACATGGTTGAGAGCTTCCACCAGGCTCTAAAACGGTCAAAAAAAGGGTAGTAACCCCTGGGATAGAGGAAAGAGATTAGGAGAGCAGAATTCAGGCAAGCAGTGGACACTGGCGACCGTATACCCTGGGAGGGACCACAGACTCTGCAATTTAGAGGCCTCCCCTGAGCAGTGAGGTGTTGGCAGGTCTTTCCTTGCAGCGCCGGTGGTGCAGGCCACAGCCCCACAAGAGCTCGAGAAAAGAGGGTGCAAAGGACTGGCCTGGATGAGCTCTTTCTGGCAGAGAAGGGCTCAGCGGGTGGAGGGGATGTAGCCTGAGTACTAGCACACGGGTGGGAGTCAGCATGGCCGGGGAGGAGCCAGGCGTGGCCTGCTAGCCCGAGGAGCATGGCCTCCTTCTTTGTTAAACATGCCCGTCTCCTGCCTATCCTCCCTTACTTCCCTGAAACTTAGAGCTTGGTCCTGTTTGTACCTGGAGCAGACTGTGCACCTCCTTTGGCTTTGAGCTCCTTCCCCACCCCGGGGAGCACAGAGTTCCCTCCCGACCTTCCGTATGATCGCTAATGAGATCACGTCTGCCTGCCTGGGGAGGGGCGATTATCCTGCTGCACCGGCTTATTACCCTTTACAAGTGGTACTCGGCCTGCCCAGCCGTCTGCCTGCCCCAGGCCACACACACCTGGCCAGGCCAGGGCAGCTGCTGGGAGCCACCCCTTGGTAGCTGGCTCATTAGCAGACATAGCCTCCTCGGCAAGCAGAGCTGGGTGGGGACAGCACCCGAGCCTGTCTGGACCTCAGGGCCAAGTCTCAGGGGGAGTGGTGCATCCCCCATGATGCCACTCCCAACGCAGCTCAGCCCTGGGGTGGCGGGCAGGGAATCTGTAGGCCCTCAAGGCTGGGGCAGGATTCCTACCCATGCAGAGGTCCAGGTGCCTTAGAAGTGCAGGGTGCTCAATTTGTGGAAGGCCCCTGAGGCCCCTGCACTGCCCTGCCCTGCCCTGCATGGAGAACCTCCATCAGGCCTGCAGGAATAGCAAACAGAGGCACTGATGGTCCCTCCATGCAGGGCCATCTCCAGAATTTGGCCAGCAGGTTTGTCCTCCGCTCAGCTCTCTTGCTCTTCCAGCACATGGACTCTCGTCGCCATCCCTGAAGCCATAATCCAGCTTGCCCAGATTTCCCTCCCATCCCCGTCCTTTCCTTTGTTTGGTTCCCTCCCAGCCTGGGTTCAGGATGGCCAGCTTGCAGAGGACAGAGGAAGGGCACCCAGGAGCATTCTCGCAGCACCGGGGTCAAGCCCACCATGCACAGGAGGCCCCAGCAAGCTGGGAGGACTGGAAATCTCAGAAGCAGGGGCCATGCTGTCTCTTCCCCCTCACTCCTCCCCTCATTAACCTCCATCCACGCTTCTATGCTGCGCACCCAGCACTGGGCCTGTGGGGGTGGCCAGCTTCCCGCGCCCCCACACCTGTTCTTGCCACAGCTGTCAGCAGCCCTCTGGGGGCCTGGGGGTAGCTCTCAGGAGGTCCATATGGATGTCCCTGCCCACACTCGGCAAAGGAAGGGCCCTCACACTGCGCCGGAGCACCTGACCTTCGGCTTTCATCTTACTCCAAACCCAAAGCCTCAGAGTATTTGGTGGGGGGAGAGGGAGGACGACTGTGGGGGAGAAGGAGACAGCCGAGAAAACCATTTCCTACATCTGGGTCACGGTCTTCAGCATCCGGCAAGGGGTAAGCAAGATGCCCAGATAATCCCACGCCCACTCGGAGCCTAGAGAGTTGGAGGCCTGAACTGGACTGCCCAGAGCATGTGCCTTCAGAGCACCTGTGCTTGTCTTCTCCAGCTGTCACAATCAAAGACCACAGCCTGGGGGCTTACACAACAGACGTCTGCTTTCTCACAGTTCTGGAGGCTGGAAGTGCAAGGCGAAGGTGTCGGCAGCTTGGTTCCTTCTGGGGGCCGTGAGGGAGGGATCTGTCCCAGGCCTCTCTCCTTGGCTTGCAGGTGGCCGTCTTCACCCTGTGTCTTCACATGGTCTTCCTTTGTCCATATCTGTGTCCAAATTTCCTCTTCTTATAAGGACACTAGTCATATTGGCCTAGGGCCCACCTAGTGATCTCATTTTAATGTAATTACCCCTTTAAAGACCCTATCTCCAAATACGGTTACATTCAGAGGTCCTGGGGGCTAGGGCTTCAACACACGAATTTTGAAGGGGACACAATTCAGCCCCTATCAGGATCCCAGGGACTCACAATTTCTCTGGGGCTTGCTGACCTCCAGGGCAGACCCTGGCCTCTTTCCTGAGAGGATGAGAATCAAAGGGGAAGGCAGCAAGCACGTATCCAGGCTCAAGGAAAGCCCCTTGTTCTTGGAGTGGGGAGATCCTGGGTCCATCTGGCCCAGGCTCCTGCTCCAGCTGGCCACCAGTTAATCTTTCTGGTTAATCTAGAGCCTTTAACCTTCTTCGAGTTGAGAATGTGAGGAGGCACCCTGGAGAGAAGCACACACCCAGCCTGATTTTGCTAGCAGGTTCCCTTATCCTGTTTACTGGGTAGGAAAGTGAGGCACAGGGTCACCCAGGCAGCAGGGGACCTGGGAGATGAAGCTGGGCTACCTTGTCCTGCAGCTCATGCTCTCACTCAAGAACTTGAAGAAAATATAGGGAACTTTCTAAAATCTCAAGGTGGAAAAGTAAGACAGAAATCTTGAAGTATTAAAGGAAAAGACTGATAAATTTAACATCCAACAAAGAGACTACTTCATGGCCAGTAAAAGTAATGATAATAACAACAACAACTACAGAAACTCAGACAAAGGACCAAGGAAATGCCTGGAAAACCACGTGTCACATGATAATTACCACTTTCCTTAATATGCAATGAGCGCTTCCAAATCAATAAGAAAATGTCCAGTAACCCAAAGGAAAAATGGGGGGAAAAAAGAAAGAAAAGCTATGAACAGAAAGTTCACAGAAGAAATAGAAGTGGTTGCTAACGTGTGAAGAGTCCCCCTGGGGCACTCACGGTTAAAGAAGGAAATTGAAACGCTCAGTCTCCATTTTCACCTGCCAGAGTCTCACAAATCCAGTCCTGATGAAAGAGTGGCAAAGGGAAATTGTTCTATATTTTGGGAGGGAGGATAAGTTGATGGAATCTGTTTTAGAAGTATCTAGGATCTGGCAGAATCTAAACAAAATTGGTGTTGCTAATATGATTCCGCTCAGGAACGCCACCATGAGGTATCTGCATGCTAACAGATTCTCCAAGAATGCTCATTGCACCAGCCTTTGAAATGGTAAAAACCTAGAGACAGCCTAAATGCCCCTGATAGGGCCATGGTTGGACAAATTGTGCCTCTCTCCCCGAAACGGAACTTCACGCAGTGTGAAAAGGAATAGATTGGTTCATAAGTTCGGGCGTTGGGGTGGGAGTGGGGAGCAACCCAGGATGTATTTATTAAGTGAAAAGGTGAAGTGCTGAGCCGCATGTAGAAGGATGTGCTCCCCCTGGGGGAGGAGCACGAAGCTCAAGAAGAAGTTTACCTTCTCTGTGTTCTAGAGTTCTCAGACTCCAGGGGGCATCGGGATCTTCTGGAGAGTCTTGTTCAAACAAGCCTATGGGGCCCAGCCCCCGAGTGTCCGCTTCAGCAGGTCTGGGGCAGGCCTCTGAATGCTCATTTCTAACATGCGTCCGGGTGCTGCTGCTGTGCTGGTCCAGGGACCGCGTTTGGAACTGTTGCTGTAGTGTTTGAATCTGGGGACCACGCAGGATACTGGTGTTATAATTTGTTATACATAATTTATAAAAATACTCCCTGGCCCAGGACTAGGGCTGGCCTGCACCTCTTCTCAACAACTCCCGCCAGCGGTTAGTTTTCACCTTGTGGTGGGAAACCACTGTGTCTAAACCCAGTCTCTCCTGCTTTGGTCGGCACATCCCTCCCCCAACGGGGTCAGCTGCTCACAGGAAGGACAAGCCATGTCGGAACAAGTCTCCCACGTCCCACTGGAAGGCAATGAGCAGACCCCCGCCCCTCAAGCCCTCTGCTCTCCAAGATCAGAGCTCTGAATCCCCTCCCTGGGAAAGCAGCTCTTTTCTGGTTGTGTCGCCACAAATCACAGGGTCAGCTTGCCCCCTCTCCCCCCTGCCACCAAGTTAGAGGAGTGTGAAAAAGGAATAGTGGAATCCTGTCTCGATGGAAAGGTGACAAGACTTCCCAGTGACAAGCCGGAAAACTCGGAGCCTGACTCCTGGTAGCTGTGCGCCCAGAGACTAAGCCGGCAGCAGAGTCCCAGGCCAGGAAGGTCAGTGCTTGCTCGGTGGGGCCACGTTTAATGAGGGAGATGGGATTGTCCTTCAGAGGCTTGCTCTGTTTGATGAGTGCCAGCAGCGGTGACCCAGATTCCCTGCTCAGAGGCTGTGGGTGCTGCCTGTTCTCCTGGCTCCTAAATAAATGGGATCAAGTCACACCCACAGCCATCTCCCTTCTGGCGCCCCTGTGAGTCTGGCGGCCACCGAGCAGAGTCCTAAGAGAGACACCCTGCAAACCACTCAGGAACACAAGGCCTTGACCACACGCCTGCTGAGTGGAGTGGCAGCGTCCCTCGGCCCCCTGGTCCCCTGGATGCACCTCAAGGTCTACCAGGAGGGCTGTGCCCAGCCCCCTCCCACGTTCCTTCAGCCAATGCCCCGTTTCCCGCCTCCTCTCCCACGCTCCTCCCTGCCACTGAAGCTGTGACCTTGTTCCCTCTCTGGATCCTTTACGTTCTCCCTCCATTTCTGTTTTCAAAAGAGGGGAAAAGCATTTTGATTATGAAGCATTTCCACGGCTGTTTAGGTTTGCCAAGCGCGGGGTCTTTCTTTGCCTTCCCTCCCTGCCCCCGCCTGAGTCGGGGTAACCTTATTATCTCCTCTTGACAGGTGAAGTGCTGACCGAGAAAGGCCTGTGACTGGCCAAGGTCAGACCCCATCAGCCCAGGGTGCTGTGGAGCCCAGCCACCCCCGGGGCGGAGCCTGGCGCGGGTGCACAGGGTGGCGGCTACAGCGCAGGACCCTGGCCCAGAGAGGGCCAGGCTGCCAGGCTGCAGAGCCGGGGGCTGCTGGAGGGAGACACCAGCGCCCACTGGAGCAGCGAAAGTGAGGAGGACAGAGTGCCATCCTACCTGAGCAGGGAGGATGAGGTGAGAATTGAAAGATTATGAGAAAAACCAGAGGAGGGAAGTGAGCGAGTCAGGGTTTAAACTCTGGCAATTTTACCAGACTTTTCACACTTTAGTTGTTCCCACAATCACATCCTCATTTGATTCTTAGAAGCACCAATGGCCAGTCAGGGAACGTAGTGGAAACCGAGGCTCCAGGAAACAGGGGTATATCCCAGGACGCTTGGCTCATCAGTCATGACCTATCCCTTTTCCCAGTCAGTGTCTTTCTCCTGATGGTACAGTCCCTCAGGATATAGCCAGGGCTTTATGGGGCCAGGACACGGGGTGGGAGGAGTGGGAGGCCCCGTTCTGCCCTATGGTGTCTGAGTGACCTAGCTGTGGAGTGGCCAAGGAGAGACAGACCCCGCACGTCTGAGTCCACCACGCCCAGCCCGGGAGCCGGCTCCACCTCTGCCCTCCTCTAGCCACCTGGATTTTGTTCCAGGCAGCCCCACTTCCCCACTTCCCCGGCAGCTGGGATCTGGATGTGATCAAGTTCACCAATGAGTCGCACGTGGCAGGGTGCCGGGACGCTGGGGAAGGGCTGGTTCCAGACACAGTCACCGCCCTGTCTCCTGGCTGCTTCCTGCTCTTCCTGCCTGAATGCAGAAGTGCGGTCCAGCGGGGGTGGCTGTCTGGTGACTCTGAGGATGGCAGAGGCTGGAGCTCAAAGGAGATTGGGTCCCCAGGGGCCCCGCACACAGCTCCACCAGCCCTGTCTGCTTCTGGCCTTGTTCTGTGAGAAAGCGAAACTCCTCTCAGGCTAGGTGCTGTGGTCGATTGCGGTCAGGGGCGGCTGAACTGACTCCCAAGTCCCAACGGTCGTGGAGCCCATCAGAAAAGAGGGGCCCCCTGGTCTGTCTCAGATCTGGCTCCCAGGACCTTGGGACCTGCCCCTTCCCCAACCACATACCCCAAAGCCTGGTTCTGACCCACTGTCCCTCGCCAAGTCTGCCAGTGATGTGAGCAGCACCCACCCCCTCTGGTTCCTCCTGTAGCCACGGCTCTGTCCACCGCTGCTAAACACTCTATGTAAGGACTTCCCTGTGAGCTCAACTGTCAGGCAGACAGGGCAACAGTCCAGCAGCTCCTTACCTCTGTCCTCATCCACAACGGTCAGTCCTGACCATCTCTATGCGGTCTTAGGACAGCCCCAAGGTGACCAGGGCAGCTGCTGTTTCTTCCAAGTCATAGATGAGGCAATAGATGACGTGACTTGCTGGGGACATGTGGCTGGTGAATGGTGGAGATGGAACTAGAATTGGGTGTTCTTGACCTGTGGTTCTCAAAGCAGGGTTCCCTGACCCTCATATCCGAATTGCGAGGAATGCTACTCACCAGGCACATTCCCAGGTCCTACTCCAGACCTACTGAACTGGGATCTCTGGGGAAAGTGCCCGGGGAATCTGCACCATCAAGATTCCCCCACAGCCCTGGCATAATTCTGATGCCCCCCAGAGCCCAAGGACCTCTCTCCGAGCTGAGCTGCCTCCCCAAGTATGAGGCTCAGACTGTGAGAAGTGAGCTGCAACTTCCACCTACGGACTGACGCTCCAGTTCCAGGTGGTGACCCTGAGCCGAGCCCTTCAGAAGTCAGAGGTTTTCACCTGGGAAGCGGTTGAAAATCCCTATGCCCAGGCTGAACTTCAGACCAATGAACTCTGAATCTCTGGGGTGGGCCCAAGCATCAGCATTTTTTAAAATTACCCAGCTGATTCTGAGGCTGTGAGCCACCCATCCCCATGCTGTCTGGGTCACCCTCAAACTAGTGGGCATCAGAATTCCCTGGAGAGCTGTCAAACACAGAGGGCTGGGCCCTACTCCCAGGGTATCTGATTCAGCAGGTCTTGGGAGGGCTCAAAAATTTCTATTCCCAAGTTTTTAGGTGATGCTGCTGCTGCTGCTGGACTGGGGCCCACACTCTGAGAACCACTGGAGTAGGAGCAAAAGGGGCAGAGGGAAAGCTAAGGGTAGCTCCCTCCGGCCGTTGTTAAGGTGTGACTTACTCTACGGAGCTGGGCCCGCCTGGTCCTACTTTCCTAAGTGTTACATGTGGCTCCCCGAGGATGAGTTCTCCCAGATGCACCCTCTGAGGATGCGATCTTGTCTCTTCTAACATAACTACAGCCATATAGATAAAGAATTGGGACCTTCGTCCAGGGTCCCCAGGGATGGCTGGGCAGGTTGTGCACCACACAAATCCAGGGGCCACGATTCACAGCAACGTGAGCCGTGCCTCCAGGTACTGTCAAGCCTGACAGGCTTCCCCCTGAAAGTTCAGAGTGTCACCAAGGAGATTTTCACAGGGTGCCTCAGAAATTCTGTGCCGACGTTTGCTTTAACTTGTCTTCCCTCTGCCTCTCGCCATTTCTGCAGGGGCTTCACCTCCCCTGAGGCCACCAACCCCAGGACAACTCGGGCTGGGACGGATCTGTCTGGTGTGGTGTGGGGGGCTCTCCCCTACGTGGAGGCACCAGAGGCCTCCGTTCTGGGACCAGGTGTTCCTGGACCGCCGTCTGCTGTGCCCGGCTGACCTGGCACAGGCCACTTGGCTGGAGCAGGAGCACATGGTCTCCCTCCTCTGCCACTCCATGCTGCTGATTATCCCTCCTCCACAAGGAGATAAACCTGCTGGAGGAATTTGTTTTCTCTGGCAACACACACTGCGTCCGTCCGACAGAACTGTAGGCTGAGTCACCAGCGCTGGTTTCCTCCCAGCCCACCCCTCACCCCCACCCCCACCCCACCCCCATACCCCGTGGCCTGTTCCTGCTTCTTCCTTTCATGAGGCACTTCTCGACCTGACATACGTGTCCTGAGTGTTTCTGTCTTGTGATTAGGGCCCAGCTGCCACCACATTCCTTCCATGACACGGCCGGCGTGGGTGGGCAGCCATGAGTGGGCTGGGGGATCTTATCAGAGGGTGTTCTGTTTGGAGCCTGACCCCAGAGAGATCTTGCCAGCCCAGAGGAAAAACTGCCCAGCAGCTTGCTTCTCTGCAGGGAGAGAGGGCAGGTGAGCAGGGGACCCAGGGGACCCAGCATCTAACTCACCAGGGGGGAGCAGGACCTTTGCCAGGTATGAAGCAGTTGGGGAAAGAATGTCAAACCAGCTGATGCCTCCCACACTTACATCTCCAGCCTGCCCCCTCCCCTGAACTCCGGGCTCGTAAATCCAATGGCCTCCTCCCCAGCCCAGCACTCCTGATTTCCACCCCCGAAAGCTACTCCTCCTGAAACCTCAGCAACACCATGCTTTCTTAGCTCAGGCCAAAAGCCACGATGACATCCCTGACTCCTCTATTTCTCTCACTGCTTGTACCCAGAGCTTCAGCAAATTCTACTTGCCTTTTTTCTGCACACTTGAGTTTGACCATGTGACTGTGAAATGTCACCAGTGACTCTTGCCAAGGCTGTACGGGCACCGTGAGAAGGCCTGCCTCTCTTCTACCTTCTCCTCCAAGGCAGAGAGAAGAACATACAGTCACAGGGCACAGGCAGCCCACGGGGGCACTCTTGGTCCTGAGCTGGGTCAGAAAGCTGGGAACATCCTTCTCTAAGCCATGCGCTTGGGGCAAGGCCTGGAGAAGCCCCCTGGCTGGGCCAGCTCCAGAGGCTTCCTGAGAAGGGCTGTTCAGGGAGCTGTGCTCTGGCTGGGAGGCTCACCCTCTGGCAGGCCTCTGTCTGGAGAGGCCAGACCCCACGGTGGCCTGGGCTGGGCAATGCTGACGGGGTGGCTCACTTGACCTCAGTTAACCAGCACAGCCAAGTGCGAACAGAGTGATGCCTGTCTCACTTTTGTGAAAAAGCCAAGCCCTACATTTCACTCCATCCCAGAAATGGAGGCGGGAGTGACAGAGGGGAGGAGGAGCACAGACCAGGTCTCCTGGCAGCTGCTGAACCTTGGGAGCTGCCACCAGCTGTGATGACTTGCTGCTGCCTTTAATTTAATGTTGAGAAGCCATGGGTGACGGAAAAAGAAATTGGCCCCATGGGCAAAGTGCTTTTCTGATATGCATTTATTAGCAGGGCTTCCAAAGGTGTCATGAGCAGAACATGAGGCAGCTGCCTCTAGAAGTGAGACCCGCATGCAGGGTGGGAATGGTGGATGGGAAGTCAGCAGGAGAGGTGGTTAGGGAAAAACTTCTGTTCGCAAGAGACCTTTTTTTTAAAAAAGTTCAGAACATTTTTGCAACTATCCTCCTCCCCTGGCAACCTCCTGACCTGGCCCTTCATTCAGATCTATCAGTGCTTTCCGAGGCCCCATCTGAACAGATGTTCTCCTCCAAACTCACAAGCCTGGGAAGTTTGGTACAGGTGTACCTTGCTTCACACAATTGATGTGTGTCTAGGAATTATGTGTTAATTAGCTTTGTTATAAATCAAATGTTGTTTTCAATGTACCGAGATGGTTTACATTTTTAAATAATTCAATGGCAAATTCTTTATTTTCAAAGGCTCTCATTGCCAGTTCTACTCAAGTTCATTCCAGCCTGGAAAACACGGCTAGGACATTTTTTGATTTACACCGTCTCAGAAATTCATAAATGGAAGGAAACTCAGATGTGTTCACGGTGGTTTCCAAAGGTCCCCCCACCCTTTAGCCATGGAATTACTTCTTCAAATGAAATCCTACCCAGAAGCTGAGCAAATAAGACAGAGGAGAGGGCAGCATCTCCAGCTGAATCAGGGTGGAGAACCCAGAGCTCCATCTACCTGACGCCCCATGCAACTCCCTCTGTTCCCCCATGAAGTCCCTAGCACCCCATGGAATACTCAGTTTGAAAGCATTGCTCTCAAAGTGCTGTGAGCATCCTCTCTTATATGCAAATCCAAGGCTCCAGAGCCTCCCACTTGAGCGCAAATATTCAGCACAGCTTTGTTTATGACTGCAATTGTTAAAAAAGAAATCAACTTAGCTTCCAGCCCCCTCCATTGTCAGTGGACAATATAGGGAGAACCTAGACTTCCACCCCTACCTGGCAATACTGAGGCAACCCTCCTCCTTCCACTGGGGTAGTACCAGCGGAGGCCTAGTGGGGAGCTGGAATTCCCACCCTGGACCAGCATAACATGGAGTCCCCTCTCCTCAGGTGTTAATAGAGGCAACGTGGGGAACCTAGACTTCTACCGTCGCCTGGCAGTAACGAGGCAGTGTCCCCTCTTTTGCTGCTGGAGCAATCTCAGAAGAAGCCAGCAAAAGCAGAAGGCTAAACAGGATCCAGAATCTCACAACATAATACCCAAAATGTCCAGGTTTGAACTGGAAATCACTCATCATATCAAGAACTAGGAAAACCTCAACTTGAAGGAAAAAAGGCAATACATGCTAACAATGAGATAACAGAGATATTGGAATTATCCGACTAGGATTTTAAAGCAACAATCATAAAAATGTATCAATGAGAAATTACAAACACACTTGAGACAAATAAAAAATAGAAAATCTAAGCAAAGAAATAGAACATATAAAGAAGTGCCAAATGGGAATTTTAAAACTGAAAAATACAGTGACTGAAATGAAAAATTCAATGGAGAATGCAGAATGAAGGGGATGGAGGAAAGAGTCAGTGAACCGGAAGGTAGAAAATAGAAATTAACCAATCTGAACAACTGAGGGAACATAGATTGAAAAAAAATGAACAGAGCTTCAGGGATCTGTGAGACTATAAAGAAAAAAAAAATCTACCAATGATGTCATCAAAGTTCCAGGAGGAGAGGAGAAAGAGGATCAGGTTGAAAAAGTACTTGAATAAAACAAATGGCTGAAAACTTCAGAAATTTGGTGAACAACCCACAATGTCAGTGGATTTCTTATTAAAAAAATTTTTTTAAAAGAACTGATGAGCCAAAAAGAAGTGTCACTAATTTTCCAAGTGCTGAAAGAAAAGAAGTCTCACCCTGGAATTCTATATGCAGTGAAAATATCCTCCAGGAATTAAGGAGGACTCAAGACATTCTCAGATGAAAGAAAATTAAGAGAATTTGTCACCAGAGACCTAAAAGAATGCCCAAAGGAAGTTCTCTCAACAGAAGGGAAATAATAAAAGAAGGAATCTTGGAAGATCAGGAACAAAGAAAGAATGATGGAAAGATATAAAATATAGGCAGATACACTACATTTTCCTTTTCCTCTTGAGTTTTCTAAATTACGTTTGACAACTGAAGCAAAAATTATAGCACTGTCTGATGTGATTCTACATGTATTAGAGGAAATATTTGAGACAATTATATTATAAATGGGGAAGGGTAAAGGATGTAAAGGAGGTAAGATTTCTATACTTTAAGTGAACTGAACTGGTAAAAGGTCAACATCAGTAGACTGTGATAAGTTAAGTAGATATAATGTAATAACTAAAGCGACCACTAAAAAAACTACACAAAGAGATACACTCAAAAGTACTATAGATAAATCAAAATGGGATTCTAAAAAATGTCAAAATATCCACAGGAAGGTAGGAAAAAGAGAGCAGAGAATTGAAAAACAGAAAGAACAAACAGAAAACAAAAAATAAAATGGCAGACAAGCCCTCATAGGTCAATTATTACATTAAACGTAAATGTTCTAAATATACTAACTAAAAGACAGAGATTGGCAGAGTGTATTTAATAACATAGCCAAACTATCCACTATCTACAAGAAACTCACTTCAAACATAATGATATAGGTAGATTGAAAGTAAAAGGATAGAAAAAGATACATTGTACAAACATTAATTAAAAGAAAGCAGGAGTAAAAACTAATACCAATTGCTGTGAGCATTCTAAATAACAGGAACTCTCTTTCATTGCTGGGGGGAATGCAAAATGGTACAGCCAGTTTGGAAGTCTGCTTTATACGAATGTATGAGACAACCTTCCTGAAGGGAGTGGTGAAAAGGTACTAACCTTAGTAAGTTTGGAAATGAATGAAAATTGTGAGACAAAAGGCAAAAAAGAGTTGTAAACAAGCACTGTACTCTCATTGATAAAGTTGTTTCCCACAAGTATATGGGTTAACAATTCTGAAATAAATATACATGTATACTGGAATGAAACAATAAAGTAAATGAATGGTGAATGTTGGAAGCCAAGTTTCTCACTATTGGAATGGGAGGTTACAGACAAGCAAAGGGAGAAGGCTAGAATGATTTATGGGTTGATAGATTAGAGCTGGAGATATGAGTATGAAATCATGTTTAGCTTAATGTAGATACAGAAAGATACATATAGAAATATTTATAACTATGTATGTATACATAGTTTAGTATACACACACAGATTTTCCTGCTCCCTCAGCTGAGAGGGCCCAGAAGTAATGAGAAGTCAGGAGCATACCTAGTGCCCAGATCTTGGTCTCCAATACCATTCTCCAATAAAAGGAAGCAGGGTTCCCTGGAAAAATGGCTGATTCTACAGCTAGAGCAGGAAATATACTATGTGATTCTTGAGCATCTTGCAGTACCAGAAAGCAAGGCAGAACTGAAAACCAAGCCAATAAAAAATAAAACTCAATGATAGCAGTATGTCAAAGGGACACAGCAGCCAACTGAAAGAGTTCCCAAGGACTAAAGCAGAAACATTTTGAGCAAAAAAAGAAAGTAGTACTGTAACCCAGAATATAAAATAAATATTCTGAAGTCCACACTGCTATAAAAAATGATTGAATACATAAAT